CGTTTTTTAATCAATTACCCGACAAATCGCTCACACGTTTTGTATTATTATTAGACAACACACTCTCTGAACAATTAACCACTAAACATGATCTTTTTCTAAAAAAACTTTTGAACGTGTCAAGAACACATGAATGCAACTATAATTTGACAATTTCCTTTTTCAGTTTTCTAGCTCCACTGTACCCTGCGGCTTTTTGAGGCTGCCTGAGAAGTTTGAACAAGCCCCATCTCAACCATCTGGATGGAGAAAATAAGATCTATAGACCCTTTTTAAATTCCTCTTCTTTTTGGAGTTGCTATGGGATACACACTTCCAATCCCCCAAAGCCAAAGACGCAGACATCTCCACGCTTAAGTCCACTCGCTGACCTCTTCGACCAGCCGCATTCTCAACTACTACAAAACCTCTCATCCCTTCAACATAGACTACCCCTTCCCACACTCAAGTTCTTGTCCAGACCTTGACTGACACATAACACAGACAAGTAAGGGCGACATCGTGAGGCTTTTAGGGTGGGGGGTGGTTCTCTGTCTGCCCTCCGCACCCACACAATGCAGCAGGGCATCTGGTATTAGGGGGTGCTAAGGGGGGCATAAGGACAATGGTGTTTTCGTATTAGCAGGAATATGATTATAGATTTTAAGTGGTGCAGAAATTTACTTTGAGAAGGACCACAGCTAGCATAGTTGAAACTCAGGAGATTGCAGCATGATGGAAAAGTTAAACAAACATGAAAAACAGCCTTTTGGGTTTGAATTTATAGCGCAAAGAAAATGAATCGCAGTTGAATGACCAAAAATATATTTCATTGAACAAAATATAGCTGTCAGTGCATGGTGCTTACTGAGGCAATTTTCTAACAGCTCTGTCAAAAGGCACTAAAGAACCAAATATTTTCTGTACATTAAAATAACTCAAACTGAAGTGCACACAACAGATGCAGACGTGTGTTGTCACTTTGTTAATTTGCCATGTCTAATATAAAACAATAGTGTCACTGGGGTAGAAATCAGAGTCATTATCCTGCGCCGTCTCCCTGTGCCCACCCCCCCCGTCGCTGCTGCTGCTGCCGTCTGAGAGCCTGTCTACCCAAGTGTCTGTGTGCATACATAAAATAAATGAGCTGTGCGTAGCATTGTGCAAGTCCACAGGCCCAGTGTATATATTAGAAATTTGACTTGACCCTGGCAGGCTGAAGCAGGGTTTGAGCGCGGTGCCGGGCGTGGGAAAAAGGGGAGACCTCTTTTCACAGCTGCTCCGGCCGTTGCATTGAACCAGCGGAGGCCCCACACCAAATGCCCCCCCCCCCCCCTTGCCTCTACTTTCCCATTCACTGTGCAGCCTGCCGTCTTTCAGTGCCCAAAACCCTCCCTCCTGCCTTTGCTTGTCACCAGCGCGCACCCCGCTCTCCCAGCCACCATATTTTAATACATTTTTTTTTTAACAGCCAACTTACTATTCAGCTTGACATATGAGAGCAATGCAAATGCAAGGTGCAAGCAGAAGCATAGCTAAATCCCAAAATAAATATTGCCTTCATTGGATTTTAATGTACTTTATTCTCATGTTTTTGCAAGTCTTTTCCCTTCTGTGGACTTTAATTTATGTTAACATACACCACTTTACGCCGCAACCCACCCCATACGCTTACACACATCACCCATTTCTCCGCCTCCCCTCCACATCCAGTGTATTCATTTGAAGAGATTTATTTCCTATCAAGCCGCATAATGCAGAGGATATCATTTAAATCAACTTTTAAGAACAGCCAAGCGGCGCTGTTTATGCATACAAATCTGAGAAAGCGAGGGGAAAACAAGCAAGTCAGTAGGCTGTTAAAAAGAGATTGCCAACTTGGGAAAGCTGCGGGTGGGCAGTGGGTGTTTAGTTTTGCCATTAAAGTTAACCTATTAGAGCTAAGGCTTACGATAACATTGTGTTAAAGGCATAATAGTGGCTTCATTTGTTTCCAGCCCTTGATTTGAAGTGTGAAAAAGAGAGGATGCATTTCCAAATTGGAGAAACTTTCAAACGATTATAATGTGCAATATTACTGTCACTTATTCTAGGTTGTATGGTGATGCCTGGCTCACCCGCTGATGCACAGGGCGCTGAGGAAATGTTAAGAAGCAGCGAAGTGGCAGCGACTGGAGATGTGGAGGGAGGGATGGAGGGAGGTTGTAACCAAGAACCTGAAAGGACTCCATCTGCCTTGGCCAACATGCCATGACGATGTGCAGCAGCAAGTCTGAATTGCTTTCTCTGGGCTGCATGGGGAGGGAAAACTAGCGAGGTGATGGCGAGATGAGTCCAAAAAGGGAGAGGGTTACAGATATGGGGGAGTGTTTTTGAGAGAAAAAGTACAAGGGAGGAAAGATGGCCGACCAGATGTGAAGAAGGGAAAATGAGCGGATTACGGTTTTCCATAAACATGAGAGTATTCAACTGTGGAAGCTTAAACCAACATTCACTATACAAACAATTTTGGTCATTGCATATTTTACACCGTACTATGAAAGAACATTTGAAATACATTTAAGTAATTAAAAACTATGTATGATAGAAGGGTTCCAGTCTGCATAGATAATTTTAAAGAATATTGATTGCAGGAAGGTTGACCGAATCAGGCTGTTTTTATCTTACTAAAAAACATGTTATATTTTACATATTTGAAAGAAAGAGCCCTGTGAGTCACTGACACTGAAGGTGTGAGGGTGGTCCTTTCTTTTTCACTATTCTGTCTGAAAAAGCTGATCTAATGATGTGATCGAGGCCAAAAATACATGCAGGGAATAACTAGAGATAGAACTGTTTTGAAAGCAAGGAACTAGTTTTTATTACATAGTTACATCCTTTGTAGTTTGAAATTAGTAAGTAATTAAGTAAGTAACCCTTACTAAGTAAGTAAGTATGTAATATTTATTCATATAGCATCTTTGACGAACGAAAGAATCACAAAACGTTTTATAATTATTGTGGGAATTTGCCCTATCACTCCCCACACGAGACTACAGCACCCCAGTTTTAAAGTAGTATTGCTAATAAAATGATTCAACTTGGATATATGTTGGCGTTGAAAGGACTCCTAATTGCAGTTATTAATATCAAAAGCACATGTCACTTCCAGATTGATGCATCTCGTGCGTCAGATATAGCCTGTAGCTATGCCTGGACTTCTAAAGGCCGCGTATGACCGAAGCTCGTTTGAATCGATTTATCTCGTTTGCTGAGATGATATTGACTAAAGTGAAGCGGCAGTCGAAGCAAACGCAAAAGGGTGCGCTTTAAGAGCTGGTCGAACGTAGCAGGAGGATAGCCACGGGCAGTGAAATGTCCTCTGATCTTCTCTTGTCTGATTCTCCAACGCTACTCTTCCTCAAGGGGTGGTGGGGGGTATGCTGATATAGAACTAGGCCAATGTCACAGAATGATCTTCCAACCCTGGAGGGAAATATGAAAAAAAGTCTTGTGTTTCGCCTGTTCCTCAATGACAGCGCTCAATCTTCTCTCCCTCCATCACTCCTTCCACTTTGTACTCAACGGGAGGTTGAACGTGCGCATTGTGGGATGTGTTCCTCACATTACTGTAATTGACTCACAGCGCGCGGCAGGCAAGGAAACTTTTAACGTTTTTGCGCCGAGTCTTTGTGTGACGTACAAACTGCTGGTTATAACTGACCTAGGCATCAACTTGTACAAACAAAGTGTGCTGAAATAGTCAGATGTAGTTTTCACAAACAGAGAGACATTTTTTATTGCAAGGAAGAGCCATGTGAGTCAGCTGTGAGTTGATTGGCTGACACAGGGGTATTTTGTGTGTGGAAAAGCTGCACTTGATGTGTTAGTGAACATTTAAAAACTTAGGATGTGTCAAAGGCTTTGTGATACATAGATTAGATGTCTGAGAATGCGTTTTAACCCTTCTGCTACCCTCGGGTTAAAATGATTTGCCACAGATGATTAAAAGTTGAAGAAAAATACCCTAAATTCAAGTCTAAAACGGTCTAATTGACATAGGGATAGTCAATTTAGGAAAAATAATTCAAAAGAAATTTGCTAGTGTATTGTTTTAATCACTCTGGCGGGTGAATTATACCAGAGGATAGCACAAGGGTTAAACTTAAAAAATACAAAATAAAAACCATAGTAGATTGTTTACATTATGATGTGTTGTGATTTTCTTGAGCTTTGTGACTGGATAAATCAATCGCCCATAAACTTGAACATTCTGGATTTCTCCCCTTATTTCTTAACCCCCATAGTGGCAGTTCCTGGTTATACATCCCTGCTGTAGGTAGGCAGTGCAAGCATTTTATCAATGACAGCATATTTTTTGTCCATTGGCCCTAATTTAAACCAGACCGGCAAGGCGCTCCACACTGAACTTTACACACTGGCTGAGGTTAATATAGATCTCCATACACTGCATGCAAAACCCTTGCAATAAAATACACTCCACATTAATATGTTAGAGTAAAGACATTTTATGACCGTAATAAAGGTGCTAGAAAAGTGTCTAGTGCTAACTTTTATGCACATCGTTTAACTGCCATTCAGGGATTCAGCTTTGGCATGGTCCCAAACATATAAGAAGGAAGGAAGGATGCCTGTGAGTCAACGAGGAGTGGGTGGAGTGAGGGAATAGGGATTAGGACTAGTGAGCGACTTTGCAAGACTTTTCCACATGAGCACCCCTTACGCTAACAGCATGCCTATAGGACCCCCGTGGCTTTTAATACAACCCTGTGTATTCTAAAAGGGATAAAAAGCGTGGAAAGATTAATCAAAATATACATTGTAATTGGCCACCCTGTGATGTATGGCGAAACCAGAGAATTGAACAAATTGAATCAGATAAGAAGGATGGCTTAAGTTTGTGCGTGACCATATCATGTATTTACGACTTGACAGAAAGCATCTATGTATGTTTGAACCACTCGCTTGTGCATTTAACAGTGTGGTGGAAATTCATTGGAGGTTTCCCTTTGTGTTCTCACCTGATGTATTGCATTTTCACCAAGCTCATGTGTTTTTTTTTTCCTCAGATGAAAACGACATGTCCTCCTTTTGATGTGCCACCATATGGGACCACATTCAAGCCTTCAGAACTTCCCTGTGATTGCACCTCTTCCGATGGTACTGTAAAAATAAAAAGTAACTTCCATTAGGCGAGGCAAAAGAAATGATCATCATCTATCTAATACAAAGCAATGGCTGTTTATATTGGCTAGAAAATCACGTTTAAATACATCAACATATTTCAGCAATTGTAGTAAACAGAGATAGAGAGAGGGTGATTAAGCAAAATATTCCAAATCTAATCCCTATTTTTTGGAATACATAAACTTTACAGCATTAGGCATCTTTGTATATTCATTATCAAACTTCAAAATAGAGCAAATGGATTTATAATACAATATAAAACCAAAAAAAAAACAAAAAACTCCTTAGTGTTATGACAAACTTACGACATAAAGAACCACTACTTTTAACGTATATTTTTAAGGCAAGCATACACACCACAGATGGAACAATTTTGCCATTGTGAAGATCCATACATTCTACATCTGAGCTGTTCAAAGATAAAAGGCTTGACAATACTGTGCCTCAGAACCGGGGCACACAACACGCGCACACACATTTCACAGGCGATTACACAAAATACTCAAAGATTACATCCTCTCAAATCTGCGTCCTTTACGGGTTTAGAGCCGGAATGTCAGCCATTCAATTCTTTCTCCATCTTTCCCCTTGTATGGGTCAGAGGCTGTTGCTAGGCTACCAAACCCAGAATTCATAAATTCAGGGAAATGTGTATATAGAACATTGTAATTTGGGGAAAAGATAATAGAACACTTGTGATATAAAAGAAAGAGAGAAAAGAACCGTTTGCTTCCTTGTATTTTGTATGTGACAACACAACATCATATTTCTACATTTACAAAATAATAGGGAGGCAAAAATCCTTCTCTTATGTTCAGGTATTTTTCTTTACAAAAAAAGAGACCAAAATAGTGACAGAGTGTCGTCAGGTCTATTGTGCTGGGGAGGAAGGGAGGATACAGTCAGCTTTATCACACACACATTGTATACAAAAGTAAAACACACAGTACAAAAAGAGCAGTGCAATCTGGTGGCCAAGTGTGACACAAACAAGATAACATCTATAGGCTGCTGGTATTGCTCCAAATGCAGCAGGGCTAAAACGCTAAAACAATGACTGTGGTGTGTATAGGACAACATGGACGACTGCAGCTGGGTTTGAACCGTTGGGTGTTGACAAGTTCTCCTCTTCATGCAACTTCTACTACTTCACTGCCTAAATATTCAACAATATTAATATAATGCAGACAATAGGCATGAATTGGGAGAAATGTGGAATATATTTCTGTTTCTTCGGGAGGCAGTGCACATGACAATCAGAGGTTACCATGTATGACATGAATGCATAAGCAGTACCTGACATACATATTGTCGAAACAGGCATGTCTTCCCTCTTCCATTCAAATCATTGCGGCTCCAGCCTTTTTACCAGCCACAATATGTATTTATCTTACTTCTTATAATGACATGCAAAGAGCTGAGATAATGTAGACTTCTGAAATTGTGGTGAGGAAACACAAGACAATAGGCGGCGTATGATGTAGTATTGTGGCAGGTGCTGCGAGAGCTAGACCAGACTACACTGGGCTCCATCTGGTGTGGAGGGCCTGCTCTTGATGGTGGAGAGGGTCCTGCCAGACAGACACACACATATTAATGTGGGAACACCAACGTCTCGCCTGCCTCTCGCTCACTCACTCTCCAGACTGAATTTCAATCTCAAAAGGCTCGCCCCATATCCTCCATTTATTACCCCCTCAGCAATGCATTAATTCATACTGAAACAGGGGCAGCAGACTGGTGCTGCTGGTGATGAGACCAGTGCCATAGTCTGAATGTAGACAAATCTATATTTGATATAATGGAGAAACTCTGCCACTAACTTTACAACATTATATTTTCTAATTATATTGCTGCTTTTTGAGAGCTACATGGTCAAAAATTGTTGATGTAGATTCTATATATTTGTATATTGTATGTTATATTACATTTATGTTTCTACAACCATCTAGTCAGAACACACATTGTTTGATTGAAAGTGTTACCCAAGTGCCATTTCCCTGTAATGTTAAAAAACTGTCATGTTTGAGAATACTACACATTCAAATCCTTCCCACACCAGCCCAAATAAAAAGAAGACATTTCACATTGCTTCTTTAGCTCTTTTATGACGCAGTCTGAGCCGAGGCATGCGCTCGCAGGCAGCACACCGCTCTGTGCCACACTGCACAGTGAGAGGCCACCACAGCTTTAGCAGCTCATAACACAGAACTGGGCTTTTTAAAATTCTAACAGCTCCACCACACAACCCTGAACAGGACACCACCCTGTAGGCTCGGATGGAAATGGAACAAACTTAGCAACCCAAAAGAGCCCCATGAAATAACTGTGAAATCAGCCCTTGCCAACTATGCTGCCCGCTAGAGCTTGTTTTCAAATCACTGTTGGTTAGGTCTGTGCTTTCATGTCAGCTGTAGCATTACAAGGAAAATATGTTTTGATCCTATGGGGATAATCTTAGAGAGCTTGTTAGTAGATGCAGAACGTGTTGTCAGGCCTTGCACTGAATAGCGTTAGCCATCATTTTGATGTCCTTCTTGTGCATCAGACCTGAAGCCACGGTTAATAAGGGCATCAATCAAGCTAGATCCAGGGATGTAAGGTGATCCCTTTGACAAACACCAAAGGAATGATGATATTGTCTCTAGATCCACTTGATAAGCTGTGTCACTTTACTTTGATGGCAACATTGTGCTGCTACTCCAGTCCAACTCACACACCATGTACAGTTACATCACACACAGCTATAAGGGCAAAGGTAATAGTTTCTAGGAAGTCATTTTAGCTTTACCATCCAACTTCAGGGAGTACATTTTCTTAAAGAGGCAAGACGCATTTTGCAAATACAAATACAACAGTGCATTTTCTTTGACAGAGTGATCTTTTCCATATATAGTCATAAGCCGGCTCTGTGGTACAATGAGGGGGCACTTAACACGTGACTCATTTGACTCGTTTTCCTGCTCCAAACCGTGTACCACCTCCGAGAAATTACCTTCAAATACATTGGTGACGACAAAAGCAAATGTACAGGAATGTTTAATTGCTTTAGCCTGTAGCGCAATTATCGAACCACACTCATCTGAATGAAAAGAACGCCAGTGTTACAGAGTCTGCCTATCATGTGCCAGAAACCCCCAAAGCACGTATTGTACCGGTAGATCTGAAGCGGCGGTGTGAAGGTGTCTCTCGCTGCGATGAGGTCCGCAGCTGGGTCCACGCAGCCTCCCTCCTCCTCCTCCTCCTCTTCCTCCAGCCTCGTGTCCATCCTCAGCTCGCTGCGTCCGATGCTCGCAGAATTAGTTTCTACATTCGGTTCTCTAGCTTTATGATATTGCATTAACTCATACAGCTAGATAACCAAAGACAAAAACTAATCCACGTCCCTTAAAGGAGCCGATGCAGCCGCTGTAAGCCGCTGCTTGTTGTGGTCACATGGAGATGCTGCTGCTTCCCGCTCTCTGTAGCTCCGCCACTCTCATCCGGCTTCTCCGACTGATTTTTCCTCTGCTTCTTCTCTCTTCCGGTGTTACTATCAAACGTAATCGCACGTAAAGGTAGCCTATCACGTCAGCTAAAAGGGCAGCCTATCCTTTCACCCACCTGCACCTGCGCCAGTTTTCCAAACCCTTTAAAGAGAAACGTGCCCACCACTGAAGCTGAAATCTACCAATGTCCTTTTTTGTGACCATGCACCTGCAATTACAACGCCAGTAACTTGGCAGTGTTATGCCACTGCAGAGGCTCTGTGACACATCCACCCGTCATCCCTGTGCGCTTTGCACTGACAGCCATACTTCATGCTGCAGCCTGTTATGTCCTATATGAGGTCATGGTGATAATAACCGATAGTCCTTAGAAGATGAAGTAAGCAGCTCGCCTCCCCAAAGAGCAGAGCTTGGGCAACACAGGGCCTCACAAACAACTGTCAGATTAGCTTTTGTTTTATTAAATGCCAACTCACATCGACCCATTGCAGGGCCATACACTATAGTTTCAGTGTTGAGAGAATGAACCCGTGAATTGTTTGAAAGTATGACAAACTACCACGGCCTAATACAGCCCATAGTGGAGTAGAAAGGGCTTCCAGCTAAATGTCAACACTATGATCTAGTGAGACAGGTCCCGCCTCAGTGGATGTGGATGGATATGGTGGAAGTTTTGTTAGTGACATATGACGAGTTAAAGCGCCACGCTACTGAGATTGGGCTGTAAAGAAATCACAAAGATAATTTTGGCACAGCCCGCTTAATCTAAATACCAATATGTCCTCTACCCGTTATCCAAATAGGACTCAATAACACGTGTACATGAAGGATTTCTATTTTTATAGGTTTTGTTTACATGCACATATCTTGAAGATCATTCGGATAGTGCATTTCGTGTGTTGAAGAAAAGCGTTCACAATCAAGTCACATCCAGCAAGTGATGCAACAGCCTGTATCTGCGGCCATGTGCGAGCCGGTGTTTTCGCAGACAAAGAGCATTGTGCAGTACTCACAAAATAAGCTAATAATAGCACAGTAAACCATGACAGAAATAATATGAAATGTGTGCAAATAGAAACCGCGTGTGCCTGTGACAGTGCGTGGTCTCATGGCGCCCCTGGGCCTAAGACACACGCACTGAATTAGCCATGCGCACTGACGCACGTGGACAGTGGGAGAGGGACACAATGAACAAGAGCATGATGGGTAAAGGCCTCTGTACCCTTTGGAATATGATTATGAAGTATGAATTCATTGCCTTCATCGATCTCAAATGAGCATATGTTAATAAAAATCACCATTGTGAGAAGGTGTGTTGAAAAATACATATTGAAATCATAGAAGATAAAAAACCACCACA